TTCTAAACCTGCAAATACTCCCATGGACTCTAACATTAAACTTACTGCTGCCTGCTCTGACATTTTTCCTTATGTTGATGCAAAATCTTATAGACAGCTCATTGGCAGATTGCTTTATTTAACCATTACTAGACCTGATCTTTCATATTGCATTCAAGCACTTAGTCAACATTTATCTGCACCTACTCAACAACACCTCTCAGCTGCTCATAGGGTGCTAAGGTATATCAAATGCACTGTGGGACAAGGTATTTTCTACCCTAGAACTTCTTCTTTATCCTTACATGCTTATTCAGATAGTGATTGGGCTGGGTGTGTGGATACTAGAAGAAGTATCTCAGGTTTTGCTTTCTTTCTTGGTAATTCTTTGATTTCATGGAAATCTAAGAAACAACAAACCGTGAGTAGATCTTCTGCTGAGTCTGAGTATAGGGCACTTGCCAATGCTGCTTGTGAAGCACAATGGTTATTGTATCTTCTTGCTGATTTTAATATTCCTCACTCAATCCCTATTACCATTTTTTCAGATAGTAAGTCTGCCATAGCTTTAGCACATAATCCTGTTCAACATGAGCGAACCAAACACATCGAGATTGATTGTCACCTCATCCGGGAGAAGCTTGCACAAGGCAAAATTGGTCTGCAGTTTGTCCCCTCACAGGAGCAAGTGGCTGACATTTTTACCAAACCCCTTGCAGTTCAAGCTTTTCAGTCGATTGTTTCCAAGATGAGCATGTTCAATATCCATGCTCCTCTTGCGGGGGGGTGTTAAGATATATTGATCCTCATGTATTTAGGAATGCGCTTTTATGTATCTGTATTAAGTAGCATTATTAGGTCTTATTTTAGTCTTTAGTATAAATAGAAGTGTTAACCTAATTTGTACTCAACAGTTTTCATTCTCTCTCATTTTAATACAAAGTATGTTTTCTTTTCCCTCGTGTGCTCTCGATTTATCTCTTCAGAACATTCATTAGATCTGTTCTTCAGATTTTATCACTTTAGACCATACCGTATAAAAATTGATTAAAAAAATCATATAATTATACACACACATATATATATATACATATATATATTTGTATAATAAAAATTATTTTGATTTTTTTAATTTAAATAAGTCAAGCCTAAGCTCCTACTTAAACAAGAAAGAACTCCTCACAAATTGTTTTTCTAAAGCTATTTGACAAACTCATATATTATTGGCTAGCAAAAAATATTTAAAAACCTTGTTATTATTTGTTTTTATATTTTATTTATATTATTATTATTAATAATGTATAAAATATTTTAAAAGAAGAATTAGAAAAACTTAACTATGATATTTTGTTCAACTTAAAATTATCTACATTATGAGCCGGTTAATTGTATTTTTTATATTTCTATGGTGTTTCAAACATTTTTTGATCAAAATCAGAGAGACAATTTAAAATTTTGCATAACTAATAGAAAAAAAAAAAAGATAAAAACATTACGTTAAATTACCCCCAATAATCAACCTAAATCCAAGCACAAAGCAAATTCGTTTTCCCCATCTTATCGAAAGAGGCAGATTTTCTGCTCTACTTTTATGTTTCATTTCGTGTTTCGTTTCACCAGATGAATGCCACGTTAAATAATATCATATTTATACACATGTTAACTTTTTAATTGAATGAAACCCGAAATGAATAATGAAGTGAAGTAGAAAATCTAAATTCGTCCATACAGCCAGCAGAAGCTGCAGAACCCCTTAATATGAGGAAAATGCATGAGTTAAAAAGAACATACCAATTTTCAATAAATAGTTGTCTTAAATATAAATGTAATATACACATTAATTAAATAAGCTAAAAAATTAGCTAAACAAGAAACAGACCCACCCATTTTTGAGGCTATATTAAGCCCAGATAACAGCGAAATCACATGAAATTGTAATATTTGAAGTCGTTGAGGCCCTTAAATGTGTCACCTCACACGTGTCTTCTGCTGACAGGACATTAGACATCAGCACGTGCGGCCCCGCCAATACGGACTTTGACCCTCGCACACGGGGATACCCCACCCTCACCGCCACACGTGAGGTACCCATCTAACTGTTTTTTGCTTGTCGGGCCTCACCACGAGGCCCATTTTGGCCCATATTTTGGGCCCAATATCCGTCATCTACAGTGCAAATGTCGCGTACGATTTCTTCCTTCTTCGGTTGTGTATGATTTGATCCTCACTAATAATAATAATATGTTTGTTTTTTTCTGAATCTTAATCTTATTTGATTTGATTTTTAGTCTTATTTGACGTGTGGCTGGAGAGGCACTTGATAATTCTTACATATCTTATGATAATTATGGGCATCTAATGAATTATTTGATATAGGTTTTATTTAGTCAAAATTTATTGTGGTCGTAGCCGAAAAAAGAAGAATTACATGAAGCACCTAGAAGTTTAGATTTTAGAGTGATTGAAAACCTGAACCTGAACTAATTTATGTGATATATATATTTAAATATTACATTTCCATGCAAACATTTTTTTTAATATAAATTTCATATATATCATACGAGGCGTTCTAATAGTATATCGTACACATTTAAAATAGGCAAAATTGCAATGAAATTCGTAACATTTGGTTCATTGGTTTGCAAAGTATGCCAATGAAGAAAATAAAATATACAATCAACAAATAGTTTACGTCTCGGGCTCTTTAATTATCTTACATGGAGAAGATAAAATGGCATGTTACAAATGAGAAAATATAAATAAATTAGGGTCATACACCAAAATTTTGAAACTCCATTTTATCGTGTTCGATTTTAATTTTTTTGTCTAAGTGATTGAATATGTTGGTATTCACTCTCGATTAAGGTACACCAGAGAGAGTTTAGGATTGTTCAAGTTTCCCCAAATATGACAAATCGGGGTTTAAAATCCCCAAGTTTTGTATAAGGTGGGTTGTATTTTTATTTTTTCCATAGATGTGATCACATTGATTAATTATAATCCATAGATGATGAAGGTAAGTATTGTAGGAATATGTAAAGGACAACTTGTAGAAATAGTTGGTTGAAAAAGAATTAACAAATTTTGGTAGAGACGGTTGACATGGGAGAGATTAATTGGTTGACTAACCTTTTTTTTTTCTGAAGTAAAATAACATACTATATGGGAATACTACTCTCATTTCATATTATTGAATTCTTGTTGAGAACCAAGAAATATAAAATTTAACTAATATATTCCTAATAAACTAACGACATTCAGATTCTTAACTTATATTGTTATATTATAACTTGGACATAATTTATATAATGAGAAGGGATAAATTTGAAAACTTATCTTGAAATATTCAACCAAAACAATCAATTCGGGAAAAAAAAAGACTGAAAATGACAGTTAAAAATTGCTAATATATATGGAGCGGATAGACTATAGAGTAGTTAATATAGAAACACCAAAGCCAAGAAAACCACTATAGTTTACCATTTTTTAACACCCAATTGGAATTTTATCAGGTCGAATGTAGTTGTCAAAAGTACTGTTGGATATAGGTCAGTGATTAATAATATTTATGAATATTATGTTGTGGAAAAACAATTGAATTTTCATGTGAGAATTGTTCCTTGAGCCGACAAATTCCATCTGGGCGTTTAAAATAAAAATTAGTGAGATATTATTATATTAATTACTAGTTCAAATAAAATAAATAAAATGGATCTGGCACCAAACTCTAATTTTGAGAATAAAACTAAGTTAAAGGAATAAGGAATAAGGTTCGAGGTCCATATTGGACCTATGAAGTTCGTCCATTATTACAATACTTACCTTAGGTCCTTAGACCTATTTTATAATTGTCATCTTGCATGAATTTTTTATTCATTTTCTGGAGATTTGTCTCTTGACAGATACAAAAAATATATTTAAAAAAAATATCTTATATTTGGACATAAAGTTGTTCAATCAACACTCAACTGATTTGACTGAATATAACATTTTGCTGTTCCATGTAAGATAATATTAATTTGACACCTTAAATATGATATTGAAATTAACTATAGAGCCACCAACGGCATGAGAGTGGACAACAATATGGAGACAGAAAATAATGAAAATAATATATTTATAAGCAGCAACAGAAATCGGAATTTTATGACTTGCAGATTGGTTGATTAGTAAATAATTTGCTATTATAAAGCTAAAGTAAAAATAGAAAAAAAAATTTGAGAAATGTTAAACATGAAGTGCACGCAATCGTTGATCACAAAAATGGAAGTAAGTAAAAAACAAGATAAAATAATATATACTTTTAGAGCTTGAAAGACTATGGTCATAATAAAAATATTAATCATAACTTATTGTCAACTAATTATAGGCTTCAAAATTTGTTAGGTGGGTCAAGTTTAACCTTGCAGTCATGGTATTCAGAAAAGAATATATACTTTTAGAATAAAAATGGGTATATTTGTTTGTTGATATTTATTTGATCAATCGGTTGATAGGACTCAAAACAAGAAGATTGAATAGATTGGTGATGTTAACTGATTGAGGGTCTAATTATCTCCGCTGCGTATATCATCATAAGATTTAAATCACGAGATTTTGGAAAATTCATTGCTAAGTAGCAGCTGAATTGGAAATAGGTAATTATGGGTTATGAATTAGTGTATGAAAATGGTAAAATCCTAAGGGATACTTGGATAGCGACTCTTTTAGTCAGCTGCATCCAACGAGATTTTATTAAAGAGATAAATTAGAAATCCAAAAAGACGATAAAGTTAAATTAATAGTCCATAATAAAATGGGCTCCAAAGTTGTATTTATGGGAACTTCATATCCCAATCAACAAACCAACCTGACCGGGCCCAGGTTGGTTCTTGGACACATTTATAAATAAATATATGATATATGATCAATTATTTTAACAATGGAGTAAGTAATTCGGATTCTTTATAAATTATCAACATATTTATATTATGATGTTTGAATATGAGTTTATTACCTAAAATGTAACATAATATGCAACATTATTAATAAATTATGAATTGTACGACCACACTATTCATCACATTCAGTTAACTATTAAATTACGAGTTTTTTGGTCAGATTTTAGAACTTGGGCCTTGTACACACATTGGTTACTCATGTGATACATCAACTCCAAACACAAAGACTTCTTTCATTTATGCATGAACTCCACAAAACATGCAAGTTCTTCACAAGAAACAACATTACCTTTCAAAAATTTATCCGGGGGAAGGATGAATGGGAAGAGATCAACTCTTGCACGGATTTAAGAGTTTCGTGAGGATCAAACGAGGCATCAACTCTGAGTATACCCTCGGATTCATCAATATGTAATAAATCTAATTGAGACTGCAAGAGTCCAGGTGGCATGAAATGATTTCCCTGCGCTGCTCGTTTTTTCAAACGGGCCGCAAGCACCTCAGGCCCAACATTCAACAAAACAAATTTCACTGCATCAGATGAGTACGAGCCCGGAGAATAATCTGAATCTCCACATCTGAGTATTTCTCTGTAATGCTTTTGCAATGCGGAGCATCCAAGAATCACGATTTTGCCTTTTGCTAAGCTTGCTTTTAGGGCATCACGCAGAGTTTCAAGCCAGGGAATTCGGTCCTCGTCTGATAGAGGGATACCAGCCCTCATCTTATCTGTTTTTCAAAGCGGGAAAACAATCGATTTACAATATAAAGCACTACTGAACTTCACAATTGAACACTGACTGAACTTTGATTTATTTTCATCTTCTATTTGCAGACATCAGCACTTGCAATTCTATGATTTTAAACAACTTTTGATTCAATGCAGTGAGTTTCTTTTTCTTTTTCTTTTTCCTTTCTCTTTTTATCCGATAGTTGAAGGCACATAATCTGCTACCTTTATTCGACTGTGGGTGGAAATCATCGGCATCCAGGAAACACCCTTTTAGCACTTTTGCCAACATTCCTCCTATTGTTCTGCAAGGGAAAGTTCAAAGATGAGAAAATGCAATTAGCTAGAACTCGATTAAGCAGTTTAAAAATTCGACCACTATTTCGTAAATGATATATACTCACGTTTTTCCAGAACCGCTGACACCCATAAGCACTATAGCTAATCCTGTGAGATGGTAACAACATACGCACTATGAGGCAAGTGGATAACAAGGAACAAAATAACAAAAAACATGTACACACATCCTCGAATCAACTATGATGGCATTAATTTCAGTTGTAATAGGCAAGAGGAGAAATAAAGGAGATTAGAAAAGTTAACGTGACCTTTACCGTGCTCCATCTGAATTTTTAAATAAATAGTTGAGTCGAAAAATTACATTCCAAAAGCCAATGGGGAAACAAGGACATTCCAATCAGAGGAACTGGTTCGAATCTGTGAGTGAACGAAAATAAGTTCGAAAAAAATAATGGGAACATTAGTTTTGTAATGGGCCCTTCCTGAAAGGTAAAAAAGGTGTTACTGATCATGTAGGCAAACAAGGTTTTGTTGAAATTTTTACAACATATATTGCGTTTATGGTATTCTTCTGTAATGTTATATTGCATGACTATTAGTTAACAATTATCAGAAAATGGTTGAAGTCAAGAAGTCAAACCTTATGTTTCTCTCGAAAAGAAAGATAAACGGTTAAAAGGATCATCCCGGTATGAATTTTACACAGCAGTTAAATCACAGCATGTCCATATAGATAAGTAGAATTTTGTTGTTGAAAATTGAGCAGCAATAAGAAGTTGACTAAATAAAGGCAACCGACTGCAGGGGAGGAAGAATAGAAATGACTTTAGATTCTAGACAAGCCTATGACATTGTTAAGTTGAACATCAAGACAATTAATATTTTGTCTCCCAATTTCATCTTTGAAAACTATTCATGGAACTCAAAGATCTTGATTAGCAACTAAGAATAAACAAAGCCACTCGTAACCTATTACGATCACCACTTTGTAGGAACTCATTCAGTGAGGCTCGTAAAAACAAATGCATCCAACCTGAACTGCATTCAACCCATTGTTCATAAGCTCCAAAGCTCCAAAGCCAGCTCACATGATTCAAAACAAGAATTTGACTTCAGTTAAAACTATTATATGTTTGCATACAATAATATGGAACTATTTCTTTAAATAGACATATTTATTGATAAACTTGTAGCCTTTTGGTAAGTATATTTCGAATTTTAGAACTACAAGATATTAATTTTGTGATATTTACTACTGACAAACATACTATGGCCTTTTCAATAGATGTGCATACTTTCAAACTGAAATGTCACACACACACACACACACACAAAAGTATGACTCTTCATAGCATAAGAATTTGTGTAGCAACAAAGCTAGTAAAATCGATCGGCTCAAACGAGCTCGCGAACAATGAAAAGATCATTCCATTGACTGGGTTCGATAGCTTGATATAAATGACCCAAGCTCATCAAATTTGGTCTAAACTCAAATTAAACCAAGCAAATGAGCTACTTGGCCATCATTTACGGTTAAATACAAAGAACAGGGACAAAAAGCATCCTAACTTCCGGTGTTCATAATACCTCGAGCAAGAAAAACTAGGAATAAAGCAATAACTTTGCTCAAGAAATAAGCAGTCCTATCGTTAATACCAAATAATATGCTTAAACTGATATAAATCCTATTCGACTCACAAATCACACGGAGTTCAGAACATTTAACTCGTTCGAAACAAATCTCGCTTTGAACAGGAGAGATGAAGAAAATAGCAGCACGATCGTATAGTAATATTCAGAACAGGATTCTTGTCCGAACGGTAAGCGAATATTAAAGACATAAAACCTGGGTAAAATTTTCGAGTAACTAAGAAATCCGATGGTTCACTCTCCGCGAGATGGTTACCGGCGCCGGCTTTGAATGTCGAATGAAAATTACGCGATTTGATTNAATGTTATATATAATTCTTTTGGGAGGTGGATGTTCCTGTCTTGGCTTAAGGAATTTACTAGTGCGTTGTATTATAAATTAAATATATATATAACATTAATTATGATTTATTTATTGTTTTTTAATACCGAGTTGGACACAGTCCGATCGGATGGATCAAGCACTGGTTTATAACCAGTTTAGTTGGCTTTATTAAAATATTTGCGTCAACACCAGTCGATTATTTGAAGTTTGACTACATCACATTCACGTAATAAAATATTTTCAATATAAAATTTATATTTAGGTTCAATAATCGATTTGGTGTGGTCGAACTGTTACATAACTTAGTTACTTGGGACCAACCACGTTGTGTCAAATTTTTTAACTATTTTAAATATCACCTAAAAGTAATACAATCAACCTGAAATGTACCCTAATTCAATCACTCGATTGATCCGAAGAAATTTTCTTATTTTCTTTAAATATATTTGATTTTATGAAATAAAAATATTTTATGATTCATATAATAAATGTCTACACCAAATGATAGTATATTAAGATTATAAATTATATATCTAAAGATGAATTAATTATTTTTACTTTATGCATATTAGTAAAAAATAAACATAGTAATTTTAAAAAAAATAGAATTACTTGATTGATTATGCAATTTAAAGAATATTTTTTAGTGTTCAATAATTTTTTAAAGGCACAAATATAAAGACCGAGATTCTAAAACTTTTGTTATATTTTGAATTGAGATTTTATAAATATAGAGACCGAGATTTTAATGTTGCTCATTGTTTTTAAGAAAAAAATAAAAATAAAAACATACGCACTTAATAAATCTTAGCCTTATTTTTTAAATAATGACATGAACTAAAGCCCAAAATTTAAAGTAACATTTAATGCTATATGATTTTTAAAGAAAAATAAAATAAATAATAAAACTTACTATTTATAGGCTGCATTAAATTTTGACCTATTCTTTTGCTACTATTTTTAGTAAATAGTAATTCTTATTATATATAGATAGATTTGTACTGATTTAGTTTTTGGGTTGATTTGTTAATGATAAGTTCTTTTCCAGTAAAAAAAAAATTAAAAAAAAAAGATATATGACTAAGATTTAATATTTTATTATTTTCTTATTACTAAAATATTAATTTGATTGTTTGATCGTTGACTTTCGGCGTCGACCGTTGCCTACGTCGACGCCCGCCGATCAACGTCCGTCTACTGCAGGTCCACGCTGCTTAACGATCAACTATTTCAATCAATCGATTACTTAAATAATTTAAAAATATTAAAAAAATCTTAGCCACACATGTTGCTTCAATTTAATGATTCTAGTTAATGGTCAACGTCCTCGGTCAATCTATTATTTAAATAATTAAAGAAATACAAGATTAAATTTTAACTACACATGTTTCCATTCTTCGTTAAATATTACTTAAATGTGCCATCAAAATTCAACTATGTAGTCAACTTTAATCATAAACTCAAAGCTCGCAGCCCCGCCTCCCATAATAGCCCACAAGAGGTCATCCCCCTTGGCCTTCCTCTCAATGACTCCTGCAGACATCCATTATACGTGTGTTGGCAATGTTGTCGATCACCAGATCCCCCACCACCATTGAAGTGTCTGTTGACCCTAATCATGAGGCATGCGTAGGAGTGAGCAAAACCGAGTCGAAATTGAAAAATCGAGTCGAACTGATGTATTTGGTGCGGTTCAATTCGGTTTCTACAGTGTTCGGTTTGCAGTGCGGTTGGATTTTAAAAAACCGCAAAAAAATTTAGTGTAGTTCGGTTTTTTGTCCGCATGGTGTGGTATTAACCGAACTGCACAAAATAGCTTAAAGAAGTATTATTGTATTTGTACTATAGGTACAACAAATATGCAACACACCACGCTTTTTTGTTTGGAGAATAAAAATAATTAACAACATCACAATTTACAATTTAATTACTCTAACCGAGGCCTTCAACATGTTGTGTTTAGCCTTCAACATTGAAAACTCTTAAAAAATTCTTCTAACTGATAAGAAAATGCTAACGTTTTCATTAACATTTTATAAACGGTGTTCCTACGGGTTGGAACTTATGATTGGAATTTTTAGGAGTTATTTTTCTTTACAAAAATGTCCCCATTGTTTCATTTATTGCGAACGACGATATCAGTAAGTAATGACATTCCTAATAGGCATGACCGACTCTTTCAAAGCATGATAACCTGCTTGAACACAAAGATTATGAATATGACACATACACCGAATATGAAATAAATTTCCCCTACAAAGGAGACGGCAGATTTTCTTAAGCTTGGGTATAGATGCAGTATTAACAGTAACATTATCAAAAGAAATGATTTTTTTTTTTTCTTTTACCAATTCTATAACTATTCATGAGACATGAAATTAAACGAGCGATATTAGAAACAGTATGAGCATTAGAAAATCCCGTGTAAGCAACTAAATATTTTTGTAATATAAAACTATGATGTACCCAAATGATAAGTAATTTCCATGTAAAAGTTATCTTGTCAATAGTTGGACCAAATGTCACAACAAATAATTTATTTTTTGTTTAAAGCTTCAAAAGTTTGTGTCAAAATTAGTTTTTTCTCATTCATATTTTTTTTTATATCACGAGTGAGAGTAGTACGTGGAACCCGAGACGCATCCGGGTTTAAAACCATTTGAGCAAAATCTTCATATAAATCATAATCAACACAACCAAAAGAAAGAGACAAAGCAAATATAAATCTAGCTAGTTTTCT